AAAAAAAAAAAAAAAAAAAAAAAACAAAAAAAAAAAAAAAAAAAAAAAAAAAAAAAAAAAAAAAAAAAAAAAAAAAACAAAAAAAAAAAAAAAAAATGAAAAAAAAAAGTAAAAAAAATTTTTTATGATAATTTTAATCAAATAAAAATTTTTTTATTTGATTTATTTTTAAAATAATAAATTATTCTTATAATTGTACTTAGAATTTTATAAGTTTTATTAATATATAAATTTATATATAGTATACAATTATTAAAATCATGTTAATTAATGTTAGAAGTTGAAAGGATCTTTTCCTGAACTACTAATGGAGTGATAAATCACTCCCGAAGTTGTATTTAGAGAGGTAATATAACTAAGATGAGTGAGTTAAAGAATTAGCTTTAGCATCTCATTTTATATGTACAGCCTACAAATGTTAATAAAGCATACATAACTAACCTGACAGAGAGTAAAAAAAAAAAAAAAAAAAAAAAATCAAGTTAATTAATAAAAAAAATCTTTAAATATTTATTTTTTTTTTTTCAAAAAAATTTTTGCTATTGATAATTTATTTAATAATAATAACAAAAGATTTTCATATAAATATCTTTTTTGTGTATAATTAAAACCTTTAAAAGAAACGAGATAAAAAGTATTATTAAATCAATAGAAAAATCTTTTTTAAAAAATATATGATTAAAGTGTTACATATTTCTAAAAAAAGTTTGGGTAACACTAAGGGAATTTCGCGCCCATCTTACTTTGTCGCTGCTTTATTCGTGAAACTTACCTTCGCGACTCCTTTTTCAAAATGTCTCAGTCTTCCAATACTTCAGGAGACATAGATCCCTTTGATGCTCGTTTATATTTTATTTCAATACTAAAGAAAGTAAACTCTAGTCAACAAACCATTCAATCATGCACGACATTCGCTCTCCGCCACCGCAGATACTATGAAGATTTATATCGTTGTATTATAGAAGTAATGCAAAAGGCATCAATTGTTTCTCGAATGAATCTTTTTTACTTTTTGGATTGCCTATGCGCCAAGTCAAAGAAAATAGAATGCAACAAATACATTGATTATATTCAACGTGATTTACAGAAAATTGTAGTCGATTTTGTTTGCGAAAGGGACGACGGGTGTTTTAACTTAATAAATACCCTAAAGGTTTTAAGAACATGGAAAGAGAAACTTTTCATGGATGTCTCTATTATCGAGAATACGGAGAAAAGCCTATTGGAGTGGAAAAATGAAAAAACTTATCCTCCGAAATTGAAAATACCAAGAACAGATATTTTGAAAAGAATAGAGGAAGACCGAGAAAGATCAAAACACCTTCGTGAAGACATCTGGTGGGTAGATAAAAGTATTAAAGATGGTGAAGCAATTAGATTATGGGAAGAGTGTTCGGAGCTTGACGAAGGAGATTACTTGGAAATATTAGCAGAAAACTTCAAGTATAATCCAGAACATCCCTGGCAGGATGATTATAAGAAGGTGTTATTGTGGAATGCGGAACAAAAACGGCTTGAGGAAGAGGCCGCTGTATTACGAGAGAAAGCTAGGAATGAGAAACTTGAAGAAGAAGGGGTTCGAAAAAAACGTGAGGAGGAACTCAGGGTTCGAAGATTACGAGAGGAGGCCGAGCGGAAATTACAAGATCAGAGAGAACGACAATTTCAAGAGGCGGAGAAACTCCGAGTCCGGCAATCACAAAGAGAAGAAAGGATATCACAGGTGGAATATAAGACTTATCATTCGCAGGACGAAGTTCGGAATTCGCAAGACAAGGAAATTTTTATTGCTCAAAGGTTAAAAGACGAAGAGACGCAAAGGGCTCAACGTTTACGTGAGGAGGAGGAAGCACAGAAAGTGTGGCAAATAGTATTTAAGGAACACGAACAGAGTAAAAAGAGGTTACTGGAAGAAAAGGAAAGAGAAATTTCACAACGCATGGTTGGG